CATTACTTATAAGCAGCCCGCGGCATCCACGGCTGGGCGACTTGTTTACTGTTACCACTAATTTAATGTTTCCTCCACCTGAGGATAGGAGCCCACTGCCCAGCCACAAGGGGAAGTCTCCTGGAGTGAGCAGATAGGCTGAGGCTCTGAAGGGACTGTGATCGAGACAGGAATGAGCCAGCAGAGGAACAGCTATAATCCCACCTGTCTGTCATATCTGTCCCATCTGTGTCCCTGTCTTAGATGTATTTCCTTCTCTCTTCCTCTTAACTCTGAAGCAGCTCAAATCCTCTTTCCTCTGAGCTTATCACCTGCTCTACATGTAGCTGAGCATTCAGAACCAAAGAAATCATAGTTACCAAGACCTTTGGCCCATGTAACCCAGGGAGCCATGGCAAGAATCTCCTAAGAAAGTCTTGATGGGCAGACTCCAGCCTGTTTGTGCTCCTTGGTACATTGCTCAATACTTCCTAATCAGGTGTCCTGACTTACACTGAGCTCAAACCTACCTTCATAGAGGAACTCCATTGCCAATGGCTTTTACATACATATAGTTATTGTCAATCATCCTAACAGTCCAATAACATGGGTACTGTTATCCCTGTATTACAGAGAAGTCTGAAAGTCAAGGACTTTATGTCACTTGCCAAAATTATATAATTAGTCAGCAACAGGGCTTAGATGAACTATGGTTGCCTGGCAGTATTTTCTAAGCTTTTTTAAAAAATTTTTAAAAAAATTTTTATTTTTTTTTAAGTCCACCATTATGACTCTGAAGACACCACTCTGAGGGCTGCAGAGAACAGCAACAACAGCCAGGCCAAGAAGATTTCCATGCCAGGCACTCCTGGGTCAGCTGTGCTAGCAAGCCCACCATCACCTGAAAACACCAACCTTGATAAGAGGGAATGAGTCTGCAATGTACTTAGCTAAGCAGGCTTCCTCAAGAAGCTGTGCTGGCATGAAAGGCAGGGGAAAGGCTTTCCTAGGGCCTCAGTGAGGACAGCGAAGACCATCCTGTCCTCCTCAGGCTGTGTGTATTCTAGGCAAGCAATCTCCAACTCATCCTTAAGAACCAATCCAAAGTCACTCACCCAATGACATGTCCAAGACATAGCCTGATCTTAGAAAAAAAGACCATCAGTACCTCACTCTGGGCTGCTTACATTCTTCATACAGCTAGCTACCTTTGCCCTTACCACTCGGTAGTGTAACTCCTTGCAGAGGTCCATCTTACTTGGCTAGGAGCACTGCTGAGGGGCCAGACCATATATATTAATTTAGATATTCCCAGCATCTGGCAGAGTGCCCGACATGCAGTAAAAGCAAGCTGAATTATAAATAAATGGAACTAATAAGCAATTATAACTGTAGAGAAGTTTGCAATTCACGCGTCACATTATTTTATATCTTGATCAACACAGCAATACTGACAGGCAGGCAAAGGCTATATATACTATTGGGGTTAAGGAAATTGGGACAGAGTCACAAACTACAATCCACCATCTTCCCTCAGTACCAAGGATAGGCTAATATCCACAGAAATAATTATAAAATACAGTGAACTTTGGTACTGATTCTGACAGCAAGGACTGTCTAGCTGCCCTAAGCCTGTGACAATACTGGCTCTTCTAAATTCTTCCTCACACATCTCCCAGTCCCTCCACCCCCAGTCACGTCAGTCAAACGAGAAATGAAGCTCAGGGATGGATCTTACACTCGTATGTCAGCACTGAGATGGCGCAGAGCTGGCAGTGCCTGGCTCACGGCAGGCAATGACAGCTAACAGAGGATGAAAAGACAAGATGTCTTCAAATGGAGAAAGGTCTGAAAACCATGGTGAAGAAGATGATAAAGGATGCTGGGACTTCCAACCTTTTCATACTGGAACCTGACATGGGCCCTAAAATACACTGGCTATCCCCGGCGCCTAGAGAAGAGCCCTGAGATGAAATATGTCAAGTGTCATCATCCTAGTCCCATCCAGAAAGCAGAGAACAAAGTACATCCAAACAGATATACCTTGGAAAATAATCTGTGGCAGACAAAGGTAGTCAGTGAAGGGGAGGAGATCTTATAAGCTACCAGTATACTGAGTTTATTAATGATTCCTGACAAGATACTAGAATTCAAAACAAAACAACAAAACAGCGCTAGGGGTGGAGCTCAAGGCCTCGTGCAAGTGCCCCACCACTGAGCAGCATCTCCAGCCCTCTGAGGCAGTGTGTGTTTGTTTTGAGACAGAGTTTCTCTGTATAGCTCTGGGCTGTCCTGGAACTCACTCAGAAATCAAAGCTCTTCTGCCTCCCATGTGCTGGGACTAAAGGTGTGTGCCCTCATGCCCGGCCCTACGATGCATTTTTAAAAAGCTTCTTAAGCACTCTGATGATTACTGAGCGCCTGTAGGTTCCCTGAAAACAAGTTATTAATGTGCAGGAGTAAGCAAGGGTCATCAGAATAAGGAAGAAAAATAAGTGCAGATAAGTGCAGGACACATTTTTTTATTTTAACAACAAATGGTAAAAAAAAAAAACAACTCAATTTGTAGACAAAGAAATAGAGGAAGGGACTTAATGTCAGCTGCAGTTAACGACAATACATCAAAATTGCCTTGCCACATGCTGGAGAACTCTAAATCATCAAGGCCTTATGATCATTTGCTCTAAAAAGTGCATGGTGGTAGGGAGTGTTGATGGAGGAAGGTCATTGGTTAAATAAAAAGAAACTGCTTGGCCCTCATTGGTTAGAAGATAGGTGGGAGGAGTAAACAGAACAGAACGCTGGGAGGAAGAGGAAGTGAGCTCAGACTCCACAGCTCTCCTCTCGGGAGCAGACGCCTCAGAGAGACGCCATGCTCCTGGCTCCTGGGCAGACACACGCGATGAAGCTCCGACCCAGGACGGACATAGGCTAGAATCTTCCCGGTAAGCGCACCTAGGGGCGCTACACAGATGATTAGAAATGGGCTAAATTAATATGTGAGAATTAGCCTAGAAGAGGCTAGATAGAAATGGGCCAAGCAGTGATTAAATGAATACAGTTTGTGTGTTGTTATTTCGGGCATAAGCTAGCCAGGCAGCCGGGGTGCTGGGGACGCAGCCCTGCCGCCCCTATTACTACAGAGTGTCTGCCTAGTAGACTGCTAGCACACAGAAATGTCATCAGTAAGGAGCTCTAAATAAACACTGAGTCTACAGAAAGCCCACTGGTAACTGCAGGCTATACAAAACAAAAAAGAAATAGTTAATATCTTTCTTTCATGGTGGCCTTTCCTAATATTTTTATTTGTTTACCTGCAGTGAAGGTTGGTTGGCATTGGAGTTAGAAGGAACTCAGGGAGGCTGTTCAAATGAATAAATGAACAAAGTCTGTTTGTGAACCATCATGGTTGCTTCAATACCGAAGAGTCAGGCTGAGTAGTCATATCAAAGACCAAATGGTCCATAAAGTTGAAATTTACACAATTTGGCTATTCCCAGAAAAAAAAACCTGTTGATTGCTATTGTATTGCTCTAGAATGAATTTGAGCATCAACCTACAAAGAAACATAGAATGCAAAGCTGAGAGCAAAAGCTTGATTAGAATCTGCAAAATCTGCTAAAATTCTCAGAGCAGAAGAGGAAGGCACTGCAAGAATCCCCACTCCTTCCTGGCCCCAGCATCTGACAGCTTCTCTGCTTTCTGGTGAGAGCACCCAAACAGCAAGCGCACAGACGCAAGGGAAAGCTGTGTTTGAGACAGCCCATCAGCAGAGTCCATTTTAAGCGGCAAAGAAAGGGCAAGTTTGGTACTCCTGAACTTCTCTTCTGTTGGAAGTACAAAGTGAACACTTTCTAGCTCAGAGGGATTTACAGAGGCACAGGTCATGGCCTACACAAGGAACTCTCAGTTGGGAAGGAGAGGGAAGATATGGGCGGTGAGAGTTCAAATAACCATAGAAGAGGCCAAGATTTAAGGAGCATCCAGAAGAGCAGCTGACAGGAGGGTAACTACACACTTCACGTGGGCATAGTGCCCTGATGCTCTTGGACACTCCCCTCATGTCACTGATCTGAGAAACTTTGTCCCTGGCGCAGCACCACAGAGCCGCCAGCCTTACTTCCCTCTCTCAGAGGGCTAAGTGCACCGAGGCTCTCCTCTGCTGAATCTCCTCCAGGATTCAAGTGCACTCCAGGATAAGGCAGTCAGCAGGGCTACTGTGCTGCTATTACTAGTTCCAGTTCTAAAGCAGCCACTGCTAAGCTGTCCTGTCACCAAACTTCAGTGGAATAGCAGTCTGTCTGGGTGATGGCGGACAGTGGGTAAGAGGCAGGCACAGGTTACACAGGCAAGAGCTCACATATAGAACACACATTTGTCTGCAGCCAATGCAACCTACATTCTTCTCAATTTCATTTTTGAAGAACTCCTCACCAAAGACCACAGACTGATCTGAGCAGGTTCTCTCCAATAGACAGGTGCCACAACACCTTTTTCTGCGGCCCAATAACCACCCGCACATCCGTGAGGTATTAGCAATAAGCCCATTTTACAGCTCTCAGAAGATCAAGGCATAAAGGTCTGTTCAGCAAAGCAAAGCACCAGTCTCAGATATCAGACCACACACTGAAAAAGCAATATTCACAGCTGTACTTAGAGACCTCTATGGCTAGGAACCACAGCATATATTCTAGTACTGGGGCAGGGAAGTCTGTAGGGAGTGAAAGGAGCAAACTCATATTCCATGCAGTATCCTCAACGATTTCATTGAAATCTGTTCCACTGCCTGCTCCTCGGAGGCTCCCAGTCTCAGGAGACCAGGTGAAATGTGCCCTACCTCAATGAAGTCATGAACTCAGGCTCCGTTCTCTTCCCCAGACACTTTGGAACTGGTGAAAGGAACTATGAAAGGCATCTCTCCTAAGCCCCTCGGGATGCCCTCAAGTAGCTGCGGACACTGAGCAAAGCTTGTGGAAGCCACAGGTGGAGACACCCAGAGCAGTGGGGTAGCCCAACCTTACCTTCCAAAGAATGTATTCCCTGTTCCTTGGCAGTCTTGTAGACACTGCTGAAATCATCCCCAAGGTTTGGATCAGCTCCAGCAGCAAGCAGAACCTGTACCACGCTGGAAGCAATTAGAAAAGCAGATCAAATGGTCTGTTTTTCACAGTTCTAAGACAATTCATCCTACAACTTCTTATCAAATGCTCACTACATTCTAGTCACCGGTCTGTGGGCTAGGTTCCCTGTGATATGGCACTTACAGACTTCTGGGAACAAGTGTACAGTTACAGCAAAGAAAAATAATATGAACAGACATGAATATTGAGATTGGGGATGGGGTGAGAACAGGGATAAAGGGAGAAGAGAGGGGATGTAGGCTGAGAGGATCAATGCATCATTACATATTTATATAAAACTGTCTAAGAGCAAATTGAGTTAATAAAAACACCTAGGAATAAAGCTCTGAAGGGGTAGATGAGGATGGGAGGCACACGTGCAATAGCAGGGCACAGGAGCAGCCAGCCTGAGGAACGCCTTCCAGCAAAACAGCACAATGCGAGAGATGGAGGTGTGAATGGGAGCAAGGACAGACAGCAGGACATGATCACATATGCTTTCTTCTACAGATCCACACACGCACACACCCATGCACGTATAAATTCTGACATTACTAAAATATCAAAACCGGAAGTATCTCCTAGAGCCACCTCCTTAATCCAAACTCTAAGAGCAATTATTATAAAGAGTTTGGCATATTTTATCTCAAACCTTTGTGTTAGAGAAATCATTCCAGGAGCTGTGTAAAAATGGACTGGAGAGTTTAAATAGTTGGCAGAGCCCCCACAAGGGCACGGGGCACAGTGCTTGAACTAGTTAACATGCTCAGTGTACGGTAGCTTCCCTTCTTTCTTCTATAATGTAATGGTCCCACTAATACTCATCCCCCAAAAGGGTTTTTATAAAGAAGAAAGATGTCTTAAAACACAGGCTATTTATTTGACTGTTTTTTTCAGGAAGCACATTTATAATTTACAATAACTGGGTCATAGATAAATTCTAAATGTATGTACCCCCTTTTCATGCAGGCCCAAAACATCATTTGCCTCAGTTGTAGAGAATTCTGAGATGATGCTGTGTTTTTTTGTTTGTTTGTTTTAGATTTTTGAGGCAGAGTTTCTGTACACCCCCGGCTGTCCTGGAACTTGCTCTGCAGACCGCGCTGCTCTCACACTCCCAGGATACTCCTGCCTCTGCCTCTGCAGTGCAGTCATCTGTTCTGTCTTTTACTGTAAAAGAAAATGTCTTTAATATTTTGACGATAGGAGAGGGCATAAGGAGCTCTTTCTTCTCCCTACATACAAAGACTTGCTATGTATGTAGCCTTGGTTATCCTTAAACTTGTGACAATCCTCCTGCTTCAGCTTCCTGAGTGCTTGTATTAACTCTAGGATAAGCACTCAAAAGTATTGCTGAGCTGCCTCTTTCAGAGATGGGACTAATGTTTATTTTCACAAGCCGAGTATGAGGCACATGGGAACACCGTGCCTTCCCTCCTTCAGACATGTTTTCTTCTTTCTTTTTTAGAGCAAAACATGGAGCCAAACTACTACACTCATCTCTCCGATTCCTAGCCAAGTTCAATTCCCAAACCCAGGTGGAATAGTCCTCTGCTCCCTATCTCATGATTTCCCTGAGTGTCTTTGCCAGATTTGCTCTTTGTAAAAGGTAATTTTTACTTTTTCTGAACTGACCTTCAAAACCATTAACACTTTGAAAGGCATAAATGGCAGGTGTGTCAAAAAAAAAAAGAAGCTGCTGGCTTTTCCATGTATTACTTGGTTTGGCCGCTGTTATCTTCAACAGGCACAACACTTGGCTAAGTAAATTCTGGGACAATCTGGGCATGATTACATGAGTAATGACAATAATGGCTTATAACTTGTTATAATTACATAAATATTTTCTTTAGAGAGAGACTGTAGCGATGAGGCAAAGTTAAGAGCTGGAAGAGTTTTTCTTATAGTCAAGGTACACTCTCTGGGGAGTGCAGCTATTATCAGATTAGTTGTTCTTATAATATATTTATGACTATACAAGTTTTATAACAGCCCAGCAACTCAGATGCAATTCCAGGAGTCCACACTTAATCCCAACACTAGGATGATCTAGAGTCAAGGTCATCCTCAGCTACACAGTGTGTTCAAGGCTAGCCTGGGATGCAAACAAAGCCAGGAGTAATGGCTCATGCTAGTAAACTCATCTGCAGGGACACTGAAGCGGGTGATTTCAAAAAATTTAAGGCTAGCCTGTAAGTTTTTTTTTTAAAGTAATCTTTTATATTTGAGCCAAAGTCTTTTGATTTTAAATTTATTCTACATGTCTCTTACATCATGTAATTCGATCCTATTCATGTCCCCGTTCCTTCGCATCCACCCTCAGCTCTGTACCCACCCCCCAAATAAAACAAAATTTAAGAGAAAAAAGAAAAAAAAAATTTTTTAAATTTTTTTATGATTTATTTATCTTTATTTTATGTGCATTGGTGTGAGGGTAAAAGAAAAAAATTTAAACAGAGAAAACAATTAAAAATCTCATCATGGAGTGTGACACAGTGAGTCAGCAGTAACCCCTTTATCCATGTATCTTTACTTGCAAATGTTAATTGCAAAGAGTCATTGGTCTGGTGCGAGGCCTCTGGTTTCTACTACACCATCAATTCTGGGCCCTCACTAGGACTCTTCTAGGATATCCTGTTGTTACAGCCTTGTATTGTGGAAATCCTGCAGCTTTGGGTCTGCAGGCCAGGTTCCTTCACATGCTCCAGCAGGTCACAGATGGGGCAGATGCTGGGCGGACCAAGTCATAACCCTGGGTCTGGGTCTGGGTCTCGGTCTGGGCAGCTGTAGGGTTGGTCCACCAGATGAGAAACGGAAAGAGTTCTCCCATTTCTACAATTTCAAGGCTGGCTCACCCACACCTACACTAAAAGGGTTGGCTCTCCTGCTCTGATGACTTCCACCTGCTCCAGGAGTTGACAGGGAGGGCGGAGCAATCCTCCCCCCCATGCTGCCTCAAGACAGCTGTTCACAGCTTTGGAGCTGGCTTACTCACACCCTTGCTAACAGGGTTGAGCCAAGGTCTTCTGAAGCCCAGACTAGCCTATGATTGGCTGCATAGTCAAGACTGGTCTAAAATTGCCGAACCTAGTGCCTCCACCTTCTGAGTATTAAGACTATGGATATACTACCCTTGGCTGGGAAAACTCCCTCATAGGACGATAACTAATAGTTGTAGAAAGTTCCAAAATTAGAAAATTACCATTCAAAAATTTAAATTCCTTTATTTGTGTGTACAGCTGTAGATGGCACAGTATCACATGGAGGTCAGATGACAACTTTCTGTACCACGTTGGCCCCAAAGATAACCAGGGAAGTTTCGAGAAGTACAAGCTAAAAAACTTACCTGAGTAGGTAGCATGGCACTTTCTAACATGCAGAGACCTGGAGTACAAACGTGGTTCTATCATTTATAGACAGTATCTGGGACAAGGTACTCAACCTTTTCCTTACCATAATAACAGAGATAGCAAGGCTTCCTAGCAGACTACGAGGAAGTAAACTCCACAGTGCCTACAAGTACATGGGAAAGCTGCACAGACATGAGCCTCTTCTCATGGTTGACACAATCATAGCAATAACTTGAATCTGGGCCCCAATTGACCACTCCCAGAATGTATGCCAGCACAGCCTTACTCCAAGTAGGCAGCTCTTCTACAGTCTGCACAAGTTGACATGTTTTCAAGTCCAAATGAGAAGGGTTTGTCAATCTAAATTCAAAGGGACATAATTTGGTTAATCCTCAGCTGCTGCATCCAATCACTATTCAATCACACCCCCTCTCATGGCAAGCTGTCCCTCCAGGCAGCTAGTGTCACTAACTGTGCTACCTGGGCCTCTCCAGGTTCATGAGTATTGATTCCATCTGTCCAATTTGCAGGCTGCAGGACGTGTCCAAGCAACCGTGTATGCTGCCTTTGGCCCTGGAGGACAGACAGTGGTCTGGCAGGATGGCGAGAGGAGAGTGGCTGGGAATCAGCCTTGGGGCTGCTAACCCAATCAAAGAAATGGGCAATTCACTTTGAAAACTTGGAGACTAAAGCGGTTAAGCAATCCAAGACAGTGACTCATCTGCAACCTTGAGAAGATTCCCTTCATTTCTGACAGAACTCAAAAGGCAGCAGCCCTACTGAGGAAAGACAGGCCTTAAGGAAGCACTGCTCCGTGACAACCATGCCTCCAAACACCTTGTCAGAGTTTTCTCTCCAGCAACGGTCACAACTTACAGAGCACCGATCTTTGGTTAGCACCTCCTTGTGGAAGCCAGCTCAGCTTGGGTTAGAAGACAGTTCACCTCTTGCTTGGATGACCAAAGATCCCCACCAAAGGGAGAGTGGGACCGCTCCTCTATCCTGGTACTGGCATGCTGGCTGCCAGGTTGCAGGTCTAGGCTCAACCACCTCTGCCTTATATTTAAGTCTGACATACACTGGATTTTAATCATATGACTAAAGGAGGCAGAGGACATCATTCAATTCAACTGAGTTTTCTCTAACCTCTCATCTCTATTCAAAGGAACTATTCAACCCACCCTTTACTGGCCTTGAGTTATCAGGAATTCTCTCAGGCAGCTCAGGATCTGGCTTCTGGTGGTCTACAGAAAGATCTGCCTATCTCAAAGCTGGAGATTATCCCCTACTTCCCTTACTGATAGGAAGAAGGAGAGAATGTCTATTTCATGAGATGTGCTACAAAGCCCTCACTTCCCCATACTGACTCACAGCTATCAGCCTGTAGTAAATTTGGACAGACAAGCTAAGACTGGGGAAGAGACCCCCCCCAAAAAATAAATAAAAAATAAAAATGAAAAAATGACAAGGATATAAAGCCACTTTCTACAAGAGGACACCAGAGATCATATTAGGAAGCAAGTTCATCTATTATTAGAGAAACAAACTAAAACAACAAGGTACTTCTTTAAACTCAATATATTGACAAAAGTTAGAAAGCTGAAAAATATCAAGTATCAGTGAGAACATGGAATCTGGGGTTCTTCAGGCACTGT